TTTTTTTTTTTTTTTTTTTTTTTTTTTTCGACGCCTCATGAAAACTTTTTGATTCCATTGTGATAATAAAATACGCCCGTTTTTGATTCTCCAACTGTCTTTCTAAAGTGTCTAAAAGTTTCGTCTTTGTTAATTCTAACCTATTTTACTTTCGATTTTTCGAAGTTTGCCTCTCTACTGAATCTTTATCTTTCTTTCTATGCATAAACATTTCATCGAATTTACAATTTGAAAAAGACTGATTAAAACTGACAGATTGGTCTGTTGTTTTTGACATTACATTGAGGTTAGATTTCGACTAGGTGGACTGATGCGACATGTTCGTCTTTGTCAATTCTAACCTATTTTACTTTCGATTTTTCAAAGTTTGCCTCTTCACTGAATCTGCATCTTTCTTTTTATGTATAGACATTTCATCGAATTTACAATTTGAAACAGACTGATTAGAACTGACAGATTTAGTGATAGTCTGTTGTTTTTGATATTATATTGAGGTTAGGTTTCGACTAGGTAGACTGATGCGACATGTTTGTCTCTATCAATTCTAACCTATTTTACTTTCGACTTTTCGAAGTTTGCCTCTCCACTGAATCTTCATCTTTCTTTCTATACATAGACATTTCATCGAATTTACAATTTGAAACAGAGTGATTAGAACTGACACATTTAGTCTGTTGTTTTTGACATTATATTGAGGTTAGGTTTCGACTAGGTAGACTGACGCAACATGTTCGTCTTTGTCAATTCTAACCTATTTTACTTTCGATTTTTCAAAGTTTGCCTCTCCAGTGAATCTTCATCTTTCTTTCTATGCATAGACATTTCATCGAATTTACAATTTGAAACAGACTGATTAAAACTGACAGATTTGGTCTGTTGTTTTTGACATTATATTGAGGTTAGGTTTCAACTAAGTAGACTGATGCGACATGTTCGTCTTTGTCAATTCTAACCTATTTTACTTTCGATTTTTCGAAGTTTGCATCTCCACTGAATCTTCATTTTTCTTTCTATGCATAGATATTTCATCGAATTTATAATTTGAAACAGACTGATTAAAACTGACAGATTTGGTCTGTTGTTTTTGACATTACATTGAGGTTAGGTTTAGGTTAGGTTTGAGTTTGGATTAGATAGATCAACGTCTTTGTTAATTCTAACCTCTACTACGTTCGATTTTTCGAAGTTTGCCTTTAAATCTGTCTCTCCACTGAATCTTCATCTTCCTTTCTAGAACTTTTAAATTATATGAGACCTTGTTCAAATATTCTGCCAAATGCATCGGACCCTCATCTTTCTTTCTATAGACAGACATTTCGTATCGAATTTGCAATTCGAAACAGACAGATTTAAACTGACAGATTTGGTCTGTTGTTTTCGACATTATATTGAAGTTAGGTTTCAACTAGGTAAACTGATGCGACATGTTCGTCTCTGTCAATTCTAACCTATTTTACTTTCGATTTTTCAAAGTTTGCCTCTTCACTGTATCTTCATCTTTCTTTCTATACATTTACAATTCGAAACAGACTGATTAAAACTGACAGATTTGGTCTGTTGTTTTCGACATTATATTGAGGTTAGGTTTCAATTAGGTAGACTGATGGGACATGTTCGTCTCTGTCAATTCTAACCTATTTTACTTTCGACTTTTCGAAGTTTGCATCTCTACTGAATCTTCATCTTTCTTTCTATGCATAGACATTTCATCGAATTTACAATTCGAAACAGACAGATTAAAACTGACAGATTTGGTCTGTTGTTTTCGACATTATATTGAAGCTAGGTTTCAACTAGGTAAACTGATGCGACATGTTCGTCTCTGTCAATTCTAACCTATTTTACTTTCGACTTTTCAAAGTTTGCCTCTTCACTGTATCTTCATCTTTCTTTCTATACATAGACATTTACAATTCGAAACAGACAGATTAAAACTGACAGATTTGGTCTGTTGTTTTTGACATTACATTGAGGTTAGGTCAAGTAACCATTCAGGTCGAATCTCTTACAAAAATATATCGTTCGCCGCGCTGGTTCCCAGTCGCAACAACCATTTGGAAACAAAGCTTCAAGAACGAAAGCGCAATTCTTCCATCGCAGACGCCTTCGTTCCTCAACATCGGATCGTTTGCAACGATCCGTTCGAAACGCTCACTCCATAACAACTCGCTACACGTCGAATGTCCGAATATTGTTGTGGAAATTCATTTGCACATCGCGGCGACCTGCCGAGACAGTTCAGTTGACAAATCCATTCTCGCGAGCGGCGAATCACCGCGTTCCTCCGCGTTTCGTGTTCGCGTTACGTTTTCTAGATAAGTGTGAAAGGGTATCGAGCCTCGAACTTTCACCTTACTTCCTCGCGCCTTCGATCTTTCTTCGCTGTTCGCTCGCTTCGGCGCGCGTGATCCCGAGAATGTTCCCCGACACCGGGAACACCGGACAGGCAATTCTTGATATGTATCGTTTCCAGCATGGCTTATTGCTTAACGTATCGCTAGTCACTTTAACATCTAGGTTCTCTTAATTCTATGATATGCACGGTCAACCATTGCGAGTCGATATCAAATACTTTACAATGTGCAGGGCACAAGGTCTCGATGGTCCGTAGGATCTCCTCGGAGGAGGGGAAGAAAGTCTCGGCCTCTTTCTGTTGAAACATTTTCACAACGAAAATGAAAATTATTTTATCGACGAGTTAGTTTTCAACGAAAGCAGTTCTGAGGGAAAGCTTCCACAGTGTTTATAACTTCTTAGGTTGGTGGTGCCGCTTTCAATAGTAGAACACTACCAAAGTGAGCTATTTATAATTTTTGTTAGACGCGAAACAGTCTATTTTTACGAATAGAAGCTTGCACGCTCCAACTTTTGTGTTACAAAGTTTCTCTATTTTTTTCGTCCTTATAAAATGTCTCTGATAGAAATTTTATGCTTCATCAGTCGGCAGTTCTAGTGTTAAAAGTGTCGGACGACGATTATACTCGTCAGATATAGAGTGTACGCAGCTGCTAATTAAATTACAAGGAAATAACATTAGTTCTTTTTCTTTTTTTTTTTTGAAAAATCAATAATTTTATCGTTCAACTTAACTAAATGTTACTTAGAAAACTTGAACGTTCGTAATTTTCTAATTAATCAGAAAACTCTGATATTTGGTAAGAATAAAAATCTACATTGCGTCGCTAGGCTATAATCGTCAAAACGCAGCTGCTAAAATTGTAAAAATTTCTTTCTTTAAAATTGACTTTATCATTCATCCTGATGAATATCGTTTACAAAACTTCCGAACCAATTCGTAATTCATAATCTTCTGGTTCCCCACGACAAGAACGAGCAATTTTGTACACAAGGGAAGCGAACAGTTTCGTTGAACCGTGACGAACAAAGAACGCTGGACTCTCGTCGTTCTATTATCTCGGATTGTCGGCAAATTGTCTGCGATGTCGATTTCGGCTCGGTGAAACTAGCTACGATAAATAAATAAATATCGATTGTTCGGTGAAACTTCCGTCGCGGTTCAACGAAACTTATCGCGTAACGACGTGTGAAATGAAGAGAAGAAGGAAACTGGAAGGAATTGTCGCACGCGAGCGAGATCGTTCGTCCCGACACCTCCTCCCAAGAAGGTTGCTCGCTTTCGGGGAAATCAAATCGCGGAAACGAACGAGCCGAACTTGATTCGCTTGATTATTCATCCGCCTTTAAAAAACGGATGGAGTCCGGCGTGTTTGCGAGTCTCTCCCTGCGTTTCAGTAAAATATTTGATATCTCGTCATTACTCTGTCAACGACACTCGGTCTCGTCACGCCGTTTTGTAGACAAAACGGAGGAGTTGTGTGTACACGGTAAACAAGGTGTATGTACATACGTCGTTCATACCTTTTGATCACAGAAACATTGTTCCAAGAGTCGATCGCACCCACGCCCATCCAGACACACTTCCGCGCGATTATCTCCACCCCTTTCTTCCCTCGAAACAACTTTCATCAAAAATAACACCCGACCGAGTGACACGAGCAACATTCGCTTCTTTCTTTATTTTTCTTCTGCTTTTTCTCGTTGTTTCCGGTAACTGCGCGTTTCAGATCAATTCAGCCGAGAGAGAGCCTTTTTGTTGCTTAATTCCCCAATTCCGACGGCCGGAAGGAGATTAATTTACCGCCAAGAGAACTTATTCAATTTCCTTGTAATCCATTTAGAGGCGAGGTAAATTAAAGTCATCTGGAAAGAGAGAGGACTCAACTCGTAATAAGTCGGACGTATTTCTCTCGCTGCGTGAGAGAGCGCGATCGGTTTCTTTCTTTCTTTTTTTTCTTTTTCTTTTTTTTAAAAAGAAACGTCAATTTCGCCTCGTTCGAACGCGAATGCACACGCTTCTTTCGTCCCTTCGATGCGCGAGGAATGTAATTATAAAGCCGACGTTAATTGAGAACGCCTCCGTGCGTCATTTATAGTCGTCAGATTGCAAGCTTTGTGTCTGTTTTCTTTAACATTGGAAACTACCAAAGCGGTCAGGTGAAAATGATCAATTTATGATTTTTGTACTCTTCAGATACTGTATTTTTTGAGATTGAAATAATTTTTAGCAAAATCTATGCGTGAAAGCTTGTATCATACATTCCGTTGTATTGTAAATTGTATTTTTTTATTTTGTTTGTTTAGAAATTTGATGATTCAATCAATTGGCAGTTCCAGTGTTAATATGGAGTCTATGTACTGTTACTGATATTTCTTCACAGATATTTTCGAAAAATCACGTGCGTGCATCCGACCTTCAAAACTTGAGAAACCAACAGCTTTAGAAAATAGAAAAGAAGAACCTAACTAATAAGTCTAAAATGCTAAGACTAATGAGTGTAACCTGTCTAATATAAATTGTAAAACCTAACCTAACTAAGACAGTACCTGTATAATATAAATTAACTAACCAAATCTAAAGACAATATGTATAATATAAATTAACTAACCAAATCTAAAGATATTGTAAACTATATAATATAAATGGTAAAACCTAACCTAACTAAGACAATGTAACTTTTATAATATAATATAGTACATAATTAGTATATAATTATAGTATAATATAAATTAACTAACCAAATCTAAAGACATTGTAAACTATATAATATAAATTGTAAAACCTAACCTAACTAAGACAACTTTTATAATATAATATAGTATATAATTAATATATAATTATAGTATAATATAAATTAACTAACCAAATCTAAAGACATTGTAAACTATATGATATAAATGGTAAAACCTAACTAAGACAATGTAACTTTTATAATATAATATAGTACATAATTAGTATATAATTATAGTATAATATAAATTAACTAACCAAATCTAAAGACATTGTAAACTATATAATATAAATTGTAAAACCTAATCTAACCTAAAGACACTGTAACTATATAATATAATATAAATTGTAAAACCTAACCTAACCAAACTAAGACAGTCTAACCAATATAACAAAGCGCAAGATTTAGTTTCAAATCACTGATAACTCGCACAAGCGATTGACAAGACTATAAATAATGAAAGTAGACAAAAAGAAATCCTAAAACTAATAAGACAGTGTAACCTACATGATATAAATTGTAAAACCTAACCTAACGAAGACAGTGCAACCTGTATAATATAAACTGTAAAATCTGACCTAACCAAGACGGTCTAACCTACATAACAAACCGCAACATTTCGTTTCAAATCGCTGATAACCCGCACAAGTGGTTGATGCGACAATAAATAACGAAAATAGAAAAAAAAAAAGAATACTAAAACCAATACACATAACCTAACTAAGATAGTCTAACCTATAAAATAAAATAAATTGTAAGATTCAGTTCCAAGTCGCTGATAACTCACACGAGTGGTCACAAATAATAGAAAAAAAAAGTTTTTTTTAGAAAGTTCTCTGAAAGAATGCAAGAAAAAGAAAATATCCTGTCGCTTCGACAGGTTCTTTCAGTACCTCTATCTAAATCAGCAAGAAAAAAAAAAAAGGGAAAAAAAGCTCCTTATCATTTTTCGCTTTGAAAGCAGGCATCAAGAGGATAATTTGCTTGCTAAAGCATACAGGGCCTAACAACGTCCACGTCCGGATTCATCATCATATCTCTCACCGAAGGAAGCTTCTCTCTCTCTCTCTCTTTTTCTCTGTTTGCCGCTTTCGAGGGAATCTCTCACCGGTCTAGCCTGGTCTCTTAAATAAATCAGCGATGCTTTCACCGAACGAGCGAGCAAAGAGGAAAAAAGAGGGGAGGAAAAGGAAAGGAAAGGACGAAGAAGACGCTGGCGGAGTTGAAGAGAGGTCGCGAGGACGGGTGGATGCACTTTCACCGGTTTTCTACATCGCGCCAACTGACAAAAACCATCGACTCGCCGACAGAGAGAAGACAGGGAGGAGAGGATTTACAGCACCGATCGAGCCGGCTCGATTTAATTTTCTAAGTGGCTTTAACCGCGTTACCTCCTTCGCTTGGATCCGCGACGAAAGAAGGGAACCGAGAGGAGGGTATTCGTCTCTAATTCGCTTTGCAACTACCAACGTTGACGCTCTCTCCCACCCCTTTTTCACCTGGCCGGAGAAGGAAAGTTCCTGTTGACGCAGGCTAACCTTGGAGAAAACGAGTTCGCCGGGTAAGCTTGTTGTAACTGGGATCGTATGAAATTGAAATGGCCGTAGCTTTCAGAAACTTGCGGAAACGAGGAACTCTGGAGCGTTGGTTAATTTGACCAACGTTTGGAGAAAACGTTTGAGGAACTCGGGGGCACGCGGCGATCGAAAAGTCTCGGAAATGGAATATCAGAGGCTGACGAACGAAAGTTCAGCGCTACAGGGGACGAAGAGTTTGTTTTCGAATAAATGGTACGACGATATGGTCGTTGAACTGTTAGGTTGGTTGAAAAGTAACTGCGTTTCTTTCTGACAGACTTTCGGACACGTGCAATTTAAAATGACTAACTACATTCTTGAGAGACTGATAAATAAAAAGGAACTAACCTCGTAGTTCAATCCAAATGGCAGGGTGATCATTCAGTCGGTCAATTAAGAAAATTTCAAATGGGAATTTTTTTACAATACAAGCTTATTTATGTGTTTTACGAATCGTTCTTCAAAAATGTACTGTTTTACAGCTACAAAGTATCTAACAGAAGTATTCAAATGGCCATTTTGACCATTTTTCTACTTTCAGCGTTAAATTCGTTTAATGTAATCTGACAGCTGATTGTTCAAGCTTGCTTTACAGAAAAAAAAAAAAAAGATTTCAAAATGAAACAATCAGAAAGCAACCATTCTCGTCATATTTTAAAAAAAAAAAAAAAAAAAAAAAAACGCTGTTCAAGCTCACAATAAAATTACGACGTGGAAGCCTTCGAACTACGATGACAAATTTCACTGCTTCCAAACGAAGGAATTGGAATTTCAAGAAAGAAGAAAAAAAAAAAAAAAAAAGAAACTCTGTCGAACATGAAAGAAGAGAACCTCGAGGCTGACTGAAACGAATCCATGCACACCGCCGAAATAAAGTTTCGTTTCTCTGTGAAAACGCAGTTATATCCAAGCCTTCGGGCGCAATCTGCTTCGAACCCAAAAGTGTTGGACGAAAGTTTTGCATGAGAATGCATCTACGCGTCGGCTGTAGGAAATCTGTTACACGGATGCACGTTCGTTCGTTTCTTAACGCGAAAGCGAACCTTCGAAGAATCCTGCGTTCGTTATATTAAGCGGTGATAAAGTCGAATGCACGCCAGAGAACACTATTGTACGTGTATACGTAGTATTAATTCTGTTCTGTTGTCGCGTTATCCACGCTCTTGAGAAATGAATTGGAAATCCTTTCTATGTGTGTGTGTGTGTGTGTCTGTGTGCGTTTCATGCAAATGTCACGGTCGATACGCGTAGCTCTCGGTAAATCCATTTCTTCGACAGAGGCCCGTTTTCGCGGAGCAACTTGGAGACAGGGGGCGGTGGTTTCTTGCTATCGCTTCACGAGCCACGGAAATCTCGCTCGCGTTTAAACCGCACTGTTCTCTCTTTCTCCCTCGCACACACACACAAACACACACACACACACACACACACACACTCTGGTTCCAGAGCAAAAGTGTTACGCTCCGTAGCGTTTCAACCACGTTCCCCGATTGTTTCCCGATTAAATGCGCGTGAAAAAGGGAAATTCCACGAGAAGAAAGCCACTTTGCCGCTTTGTGCGATTAATTTTAAACGGTCTTCACGGATGAAAGGACCGCGTCCCGACGAAAATGGGCTGGTTCTCTCGTTTTGTTTGCCTCTGCCTCTTTGAAAAAAAGGGGAAAAAATCCTTGTGTGCATTCGCATTCGAGTCTCGTCGTTCGAAATTTCTCCCCCCCCCCCACCCTCAGCCGCTCCTCTTTGAGCCGAGCCACTAAATTTTCGTCGAATTTTCATCAGTTCACAAACGCGTTCACTGTTCGTTCCGTTGCATGCTCGAAGCCAAGTATTACGAATCGTCCTGAAAGTACTTTGGCCAACGCGCAGACCGTCATCTGCAAGTATATACAAGCGAAAAAGGACTCTCTCCGGTCAGTTTTTAGCAGCATTTTTCTACGCCAATAAATTCTTGTTCGAGTAAAATTTCACCCATTTTGTGAAAACTTGTACGATATAATCGCGCACTTGGAACGCGACACTCGAGAAAGTCGAGGGAAATGTATCTGGAATGTGTGCGCCAGGCCGATTTCTGAGGAAGGATTTCGGCGGAGTGCGCGACGAGCTGAAGGATAACACGCAACGACCAAGAGAATTTAAGGAATAAAAAAAGGTCCGAGGAAACGTGACCGGATCGAGGATCGTTGAGTCGTTCGATTCACGCGCGAGAGTATATATGATATGTTCACTCGAACGAACGCGGGAGTCCACGAAAGAGTAAAAAAAACGGGACGAGGGTTCGTTCTCCAGCTCTCGAGACTGCCACCGAGCTTTCGTCGGCAGCTTTCCAGTTTCGCTGCCTCTCCGCTCTCTCGTTAACTTTTCGTCTTTGGTTTCGTTCGCTCCGTTCGACGCCATTTAACGCGGCCTCGCCCACTCGGTTCCGCGAGAGTTTCTCGAGGAAAAGGGATTCGACGGATTTGATTATTCGACATTGCATTATCGATACTTTTTCGCGATCCTATTTTCGGTTCCCCTTTTGTTACGAGAGCCGGATATATATATATATATACAGGGTGTTTCGTAACATGTGGGATGCCCACTTCGGCAGCTGATTGTACGCCTAAAAATAATGAAAAAGAAGTCATATAAATATATGTCCTATCTGTCTTCGTTTATGAGATATATCATGAATTTTATAAACAGAGCAAACTCTAGTAAGCTAGTTTCACCAGGGATGGTATATTCAATTTTCATAATGATCATAACTGGGATCATAGCTGAAATTAATATTACATAATTAATATAATATTATATTATTATAAAATTAATATTACATAATATAATATTATTATTAATATTATATTAATTAATTATTATAATAATAATTATTATTAATTTTATGTTATTATAAAATTAATAGTACATAATTAATATAATATTATTAATATTATTAATATTATTATTAATATTATATTAATTAATTATAATAATAATTATTATTAATTTTATATTATTATAAAATTAACATTACATACTTAATATAATATTATTATTATTAATATTATTATTATTAATATTATTATAAAATTAATATTACAGAATTAATATAATATTATTATTATTAATATTACATTAATTAATTATTATAATAATTATTATTAATTTTATATTATAAAATTAATATTATAATATTGTCTGAAACTAATATTATACATGTAATAATAATATTAATATATGTATACGACATCGACTAAATATAACAAAAATAACAACAGAGTAAGCTAGTTTTACCAGGGATGGTATATTCAATTTTCATAATGATCATAACTGGGATGAAGAAAACCCACGTGTTATTGCGCATTCAAGACATCAACACCACAGTTTAGTTTAAACGTATGGGCAGGAATAATTGATAAATTTTTAATTGGACCTTTTTTTCTTGATGGGAAACTAACAGACACAAAGTAGGTTGATTTTTTGAGCGCGCGTTTACACGAAATATTAGAGGAAGTTCCAGTCGATATTAGACTTCGTATCGCGGTTTATGCATGATGGAGCTCCGCTGCATTTTAGCCGAGTGGCTAGGCAATTTTTAAATCAACACTTTGCAAATAAATGGCCTGCTCGTTCTCCGAATTTGAATCCATTAGATTTTCACTTGTGGGTACATTTAAAATCTATTGTATAGGCAACATCGATTGAAAATGCTGAAATAGAATAGAGCAAGGCTTCCGACAAATTCGAGAAACACCAGAAATGATAGTGCAGGCTTGTCTTCAAATGCAATTGTCTTTTGTAAAAGTAATTAAAACAGAAAATTCATTATATCTCATAAACGAAGACAGATAGGACATTTATATGACTTTTTTTCATTATTTTTAGGCGTACAATCAGCTCCCGAAGTGGGTCCCACAAATTACGAAACACCCTGTATATACGGCATTCAAGTAATGGTGCCCGTATATAGAGGTGTATTAAATGAAGCGAAAAGAAAAAAAATTAAACACATACGTCTCATTTTGTAATAATTTTCACTTATCTGTCTTTTCATTTGCCTTTGTAGTAAATTTTTGAAATTGTAACGAGACTTTATGAACCACCCTGTATAATACACTTTAGCCATCGAGACGAGCTATTGTTTCTATTTGACAGTGAAATATTTATTCGATGAGAAATTACTGTAGTAAAAGATCTTTCTCGATCTGTCAATGGCTACAGATGTAACTGTCAATCTCTTAAAAATTTAAGGTTAGATTTGAAAAGAAATCTAACCTTAAATTTTATTTAGATTTGAAGAATCAAAGTTCGTTTTAGACTCTTGTCGAAAATGTCGCCAGGAAATTCGAAAAAGATTCGACAGTGGAGTATTTATGCAATAAGAAATTATTGTAACAAAAGAACTTTTTTAATCCATCGCAATTCGGAAAAGATCGGCCATAGGCGTAACTGTTAATCTCTTAAAAATTTAAGGTTAGATTTTTGCTCGAAAAATTAAAGTTTGTTTCAGAAAAA